CTGCTCTCCCAGTCCCTTCGTCACGGCTGGCGACGAAGTGAGACGTCAACCCGGTCCATGCGATGTAACTCGCGAGCATGCCTGCGGTGGAGATCAGGAACAAGGGTCGTCGACCCAAGCGGTCTACCATGAGCGCTCCGAGGAAGGTCGAAATGATCCAGTTGAAGATTTGCAGCATTCCGTTGATCAAAGTCTGGTCCTTGACTTCAGTGATGCCGATAGTGTTAAGCACGAGACTCAAATAGTAGCTGACCACTGCGACTCCGTTCCACTGAGAGCTGAAGCCGACAATACAGGCAATCAGTGTTCGCTTTCGGTTGGCAGGGGTTCGCACGAGTTCGAGCCAAGATGATTGAGACATGGCTTCGGCCTCCTCGCCCAAAGTAAGTTCGACTTCGCGCATCTCAAAGTCGACCAGAGGGTCATTGAGGTTGCCACCAGCGTGACAGTCGGCGAAGACCTTTCTGGCTTCATCCTTACGACCACGGCGCATCAGCCAGCTATATAAGAGGTCAGCGAGACTAGAGTATGTACGGGTAAGATGTTGAAGACTTGAAAAGCATACCGAGGAGACTCGGGCAAGAAGTAGACACCCATAAGCTGGATCACAGGAACTGCCCCTTGTAGCAAAGAGGGAATTCGCCAGCTCCATGTCGACGCAATCTTGAACGTTCCAAAAGTACACCATGCGGCAAAAATGGAGCCAAAGTACTACGAAGAATGGTCGTCAGCAGGTTTGCAAGACTGTGTGAGTGACATCTCAAAGATCCAACGTACAAAGAATGTGTTGTACAAAGCTGTGATTCGGCCTCGGTGGGTAGGGTAAGCCAATTCCGTGATGAGGATAGGACTCGGTTGGCTGATGAAAGTTGTGAAGAAGCCTAGCAAAGCTCTTGCGACGACAAAGCTTGGAAGGTCCTTGGACATGCCTTGCAAGATGGCAAACCCGATGCAGGCTGCCAAACCCAGAACGAGAGGGAGCTTCCGACCGTATCTGTCCGAGATGTACGTTACGACGAAGAGTGCTACAACTTTGCCGAGAGGGTAAACAGCATTCATGAGACCGAGAATGGCGCCCTCGGGGTTTCCAAAGAATTGGCGCCATTGAGGGAGGGTTTGCAGGCCGTTCATCATCGATCCTTTCTCTCGTTAGTTTGGCGATCCCCAAAGCTGGATCGAGAAGCCATACCATCGTAACCGACAGACGCAGAAGAGAACAGAGGTACAAGCAGCAACAAATTCAACTTCAGTAGATGAGGTGTCGAATACCATGGCTTAGGATTTGCGGGTAGAACCTAGTTGTCGCGTGTCAGTAGCTTATCACCTAGAATAACCCAAGAGAAGGTTACCCACAGCTGCGAGAGCCGACCCTGCGGCCAGCTCTGCTCCCGTCTTCTTCGAAAACACGCCCATTGTCAAGGTTGGTCTACGCGATGTCTTGACTGTTGAGGTTTTCACCGCTAGGTTGTTGGTAAAGGTATTTCAGGCTCCTGGTTGAAGCGACAAGGATGACTTGAACTCGAGAACACGATGAGACGCCATGCTATTTATCTACCTCGGGAGAGCCATCGACAATGCAACCAACTCCAGGTTTTCCAGCCACCGCCTAGGGTCCAGGTCAGACCAGATTCTCGGTAGCTCTGCACGGCTTCATAACCCCGGTCCATCCCCATGGGGTAAACGCGGGACCGGAACTCGGGATGGATGTTCTCAGGAAGTCGGAGACCAGGAAAGTGTGCGGGGAAGAATGCACCGTCGCGGCGTGCAACATTTCGGGACGCGTCTTCGACCGAACTAGGTGACCTTAGATCTCGCACTAACAATTTTGCCGCTGCTCCGATACTCCGCGGGCGACCTTTCGGTCTAAGTCGGTTTCGGGGAGTAGCGGAGCTCGTTCACCCTCAGATGCTTTGACTTCTCCAATTATCTCGAATCATCATTGGGTGAAGCTACCAGAGCAAAAGTGGTCTCAGATCCATCTTCACATGTCCAATGATCTTCGGGGCTCAACGATCCAGCTCAAGCTGACGACATTGCTGGAGCCATACCCACAGGAGCTTGACAAGATTACAAAAGCCATCACGAACGCCTCTCAACATCGTAAGAGCAGGCATACCTAAGACAAGATACTTGGGTAGAACCGTCCAGATTTCGAATCCAGATTCATGTGCATTGTACATTGAGAGGCCCTTGACGACTTTCCTCATACATCAACAACGACACCTGAAAACATGGCCTCCCAGCAGCAAACGCCCATCCTCAGGGTTGGCATCATCGGGTGCGGTGAGATCACTCAGGTAGCCCACATTCCCAACCTCAACTTCCTTTCTCATCGCTACCAAACTACCTACCTCTGCGATATCTCACAACAAGCTCTAGAGCACTGCGCCCGAAAGGTGCAGGGAGGAACGCCCAAGACAACGGCTGATGCAGCAGAACTCTGCTCTTCGCCAGACGTCGATGTGGTGGTCATTGCCAACGCTGATGCGTACCATGTCGAGCATGGCCTCTTGGCGTTAAGAAACGACAAGTACACCCTCATCGAGAAGCCCGCCTCCGTCTGTTTCCGAGACCTAGATCTCTTGATCGAAGCCGAGAAGAAGTCTAAGGGAAAGGTCATGGTTGGTACCATGCGGCGTTTCGCAACTGCATTTACCGACGCGGTGAAGGAAGTCGGCGGCATGGAGAAGATCCAGTACGCGAGAGTTAGAGACATCATCGGACCCAACTCAACATTTGTCGACCAGTCCGGCACGTTCCCGCTGAAGTTCAGCGACTACAGCGATGCAGACACCAAAGACAGGCTGAAGCGGGAGGCGGACATCTCTGAGCAGGCTCTGGCGAAAGAGTTTGGAGTTCCCGTTACCTCTGATTCTCAACTGATGCTACGACTTCTAGGAGGGTATGGTGGCGTTCAACAAGACTGAAAAATCATCGTTACTAACAAATCCATAGACTCGGAACACATGACCTTTCAGCCATGAGAGAAATCATCGGTATGCCGAAGAGTGTTGCAGGAGCTTGTCTTACCTTCCCTGGCATCTTCAGCGTCCTCTTTAAGTACGACAACTTCCCTGTCACCTATGAGTCAGGTTTCAGCAAAGTCCCGCAATTTGACGCACACATCGAGGTGTACTCTCCCGAGAAGATTGTTCGCGTTGACTTCGACACACCATACGTCAAGGGCCTACCAGTCACAATGACCATTAGAGAACTGATCGGAAATGATGGCTTCCAAGAGCGCAAAGTCAGGAAGACATACCAGGATCCTTACACCATTGAGTTCCTCGAGTTGTATGACTGCGTTGTCAACGGGAAGGCTCCGAAAACGAGTGCACTAGATGCGAGGAACGACATCGAATTGTTCAAGATGATCCTTCGAGCAGACTCAAGCAGATATCAGTAGAGGCCTGGAGGATAATGAAGAAGGGCACAATAGCCTTATTACTTCCCAAAGAGCTGGCCACGAGATTGATAATGTGAGATAACGGAAGTGTGTCTTCGGTCTCGGCCATTCACCGCCTGGCGGCTTTCATATCTGACCAATAACCCAAGCCAGACGATGAGATGTAAAACTTCTCGTTCCCATCAGCAACACGGTCGCTGCGGCCGTTACGGGCGCACCGCGTCTCAGGCTCTCAATTGCATTGCAGATTACTTAAGCGGGATGGGAGTCATGGGATTACCGCGACCGAATATCACCATGATTGTTATGGGTAACTTCGGAGGGACCGTTGTCAAATCATCTCGGCTGCGGTGACTTACCGCACGAGAACGAGTGCAGCAACATAACGAAGCTCAATCGGGGCACGGTAATGCGGAAGTCTCAAATACATTGATACGAGCAACTTTTGCAAGCTTAGGTATGGGGTCAAAGTAGCCCACAGCCTCCACGACTCATGACGCCTAACAAACTTTGGATTCGGATCATGCACTGGTGCAAGGTTCCTGCGGAGATCTCTCGAGGATCCTCGTTCGAGGGAGAACCTCTTTGCTCCCACAGAATTGTCGAATGACGAGTAATGTACTAGGTGTATCGGATGAGTTCCACCTTTGGCGAGGCCACCCTTGGTCGGTCACTTGGGCCAAGTCATCTCAACTTATTCTGGACGAACCAGGTCGTGGGGATGTAGTTCGCGATCCACAGAGTGCGGAACTTAGATTTATCGATAATGTATCCCGAACGAAAGAAGCTGAGAGATGAAGATGAAAGATCCACCCCATATAAATAGCAGCTTGCTCCCAGCCTTTGAGGATGGCCGGTCACCATTCTATCAATAAATCAAGTAGCAAAGTTTTTCAAAACAAATGCCAATCTCCTAGTTCTGTCCATTTTCTAGATCCAAAGATATCCCATCACTACTAAGACAAAATGTTGTTCCATCCTACTCTCGCTTTCGCAGCGCTGCTTCAATTCGCTCTTCCCGCTTCTGCCGCTTTCATCTTCTGCGCTGGCGCTCCTGCCGATGGTAGCTGTCCTGCGGACAAGGGAACAAAGACAAGCGTAAGTTTCCAACTTCTGTCCCGCATTAATCACTCGTTATCTATATTAGCTGTAAACTGACTCGGAGTATTTGTCGTAGTGTCAAAACATTTGCGCCAATTGCAAGCCCAATTGCTTTGGAGGTTCAGCGCCAGACTTGGGCGCGACTTGCTGCGAGCAATCGGACGGAACCATCAACATATTCTGCTTCCGCACGGGGAAGAACAACTGTTAGAAATCCGAACAATCAAAAATCTCTCAACCTTAGGATCAAAATGTCACAGGACCCGCGTAATGTTTCACCTCTCGACCTCCTTTGGTACATGAACGACCAGATATGGAGAATGAGAGGCAAGTAGGGCCATATCTTACAAACTTCATTATTTCAAACCCTTCACCATCGGGGCCTGGACTGACACGTGATCCCACCAAAGCTGAACAAACCTGTGCGATGTTTATGTGTGAGGCGATGCCGGATCATTCCAAATTCGGAGTCGACAAAACTACCTCCTACTATCCCGGAGGCTTGATCTCGTATTCGAGGTTTGAAGCTTATGTTCAACGATGGTGAAGTCTAGCCTCATGCTAACCACAAAGTAGCTCTGCTTGCTCTCCACGAACTGACTAGCTGGCTGTCAATGAAGGCGCCGCTGGGCTACGCCCGCCAATGTTGGTTATCTCAACCACGTGGTGACAGGAACTATTTGGACGGATCATTCAACCAATCTACTGGGATCCCCAGAAGTGGAATGGCCAGAACAGTCGGCAGGATTTTGACTTTACAGTCGCAGCCGAGATCCCGGTTGTTGAAAGCCTGCCCTGCAGTAGCGCAGATCGCTCATTGTTAATCAACGAATTCGCTTTTGCTAGCGTGAGGGGAACTTGATGTCCCAGTAAGGCGGCGTTCCCGTCAAAGTCTAAGGAGAGGCGCCGTCTGTCCTGAGTTGACTACACGGTAGCAGTTCCACCTGAGTTACACAAGGCCGAGCGGGAACCCAGGCGGTCGGGTAATATTACACTATCAGTACCACGCCAGATCGATAAGTCTAGATCTGATTGTTTACTCGGTATGCTGTGCTGGCACGTCGATACTCGATGCGCAATGTCGAGCCGGAGAAGCTCTTGTCGGATTTACTATAGATGTCATGATGAGTGTCCAGAGTACACGAAAAGTTTTCTCATCGGCCATCACATCATCCGTCCTGACCGTTTACTCACCTCAATCTTCTTGAGAGTCAATGTCGCTTGTGATGCTCAGGGCATTGACAAAAAAGGTAAGCTTTCCGGTCTCCGGATCGTAGACTTTGTGCCAATGACACTACTAGCTCCGTGGACGGCGACGGTGGGTGCAATACGAGCGCCGCCGTCAACTAGCAGAATACGGACTAGAGGCTTCTTAGCATCAACGATACCCGACAGGCGAACGTTCAAGCCACACCGGGCCACTCCTTTGTCAAAGACAATCCTCACACATCACCCGTTTTTTCGAATCAAACAAAGAGTCTTTGAGAAAAGACTCGCGCTACAGTTTGACGCATGGTTGCTATTTTTGCTTTAGTATGATGACCAGAGTCCCAAGAGTCAAGTCTGCAGCGTCAGTGGCCGAATCTCAAAGATTGCTTCCCGAGTACCGAGAGCGAGGTGCGCCTAATTCTGCAACGACTCCGTTAGCTTATGCTCACTAGAGTGGCAATCAGACGATGAATGAGGCTTTTCCGTAGCTCAAAGGATTGGATGTTGGATCACTGAAGCCTAAGGTTCTCTGGCTAGAAGCAATCGTGGCGGGAAGATGTATATAACTCTTGGAGAGATCCGACTAATGCAGCTCTCTCTTCCACACTCATCACAGTCATTCATCACAATCATTCCTTCTTCTTCCTTCTTCACAATCATTGACCTTCCATACTAACAACAGCTTCAACTTTCCAACTTTCAAGATGCGCTCATTCACCGTTCTCGCCGCCTTGACGGCCACCGGCTCGGCTCAGCTCTTATCTCTTTCTGAGCTCGCCAGCATCCCAGTCTCGACTGTTCAGACTGTTCCCGTTGGTGTTGGCAACCAGACTGTTGCAGCAACCAAGAGGGAAGTCAACAACTTGGCCGCTCGCGGCGACTGCAGCGCTCTTCCCGCTGGCAGTGGCCCGGTCCCCACCACCGACACGGACACGGCTTTCCTCGCCGACACGGACCTGTCCAGTGCCGCTTTGGCGGCCGTCACCCCGGCTGGATGGTACCAGACCTTCCAGAACCTCCAGTCTGCGACCTCTGCCTCGGCTTACATGGGCTACAAGACGTATGCCACCTACAGTCCTGCGCAGTGCGCAGCTGACTGCAAATCGAATACTGGATGTACAGCCTTCAACGTCTTCTTCGAGAGAGATCCCAGCCAGGATCCCGGCACCGCGTGCCCCAACCCCTCGAGCACAACTGTCATCAAGTGCAGCTTCTGGGGTGTTGGCATCGGCCCTTCCACCGCCACCAACAGTGGTGAATACAGGAACGACTTCCACGTTGTGATTGCTGGCTCAAACGGATACCAGCTTACAGCACCCGACTACGCCGTCACCGGCTACAACTCTACATTTACTGATACGGCCACCATCAACGCCCCCAGCGAATGCAACAGCTACATCACTTACAGGGCTCACACCAACGCCGCGTACGACCCTTCTCTTTGCGCTGCCGACTGCGCTTCTCAGAGACAAGAGACCAACCCCTTCAATGGTCTCTACTGCCACTTCTTCACCAGCTACTCACTTGTCAAGAACGGTGTCGTTCAGGCGCAGATCTGTGCTCTGTACTCGCGCACCTGGGATAAGAGCTACGCTGTCAACACGGGATACACCTCCGGCTCTGATGTCTACACCATCCAGTATGCTTACTCGTACTCTTACACCTCTGATATGGGCACCTGGACCTGCCCTCAAGGCAATGCCGCTGTCGCCTCTACAACATTGACTACTTCGTCCACGTCTCAGATCGCGACCCCTTCCACTCTTTCCACGTCTACTACCTCGCGGGCCGCCACTTCTTCGGTTCTGGCTACATCCAGCAGCTCCTCTACTTCCACGATCAAGACTTCCACTTCTTCCTCGGCCGCCGCCGCAACAACTAGCAGCACAGCGGTCTCCAGCGGGCCCATCACCGCCTGCCCCAGCCCCGTGAGCTATGTCGTTGGCTCTGCTGGTGGTCTGTACGCTGTCTGCGCCAACACCGACTTCATGATCCCTAGTCCTCAGATCTACTACGGCTACAAGTCCAACGCTGACTGCGCCACTGCCTGCGAGGCGCAATCGGGCTGCACCAAGGCTGTCTACAACCCTACCACCCAGATCTGCTATCTGAAGGGTAGCCCCAGCGTCGCCGCCTCCAACTGGAACGTCAACGCGCCTTTCCAGACTCTCGTCAAGGTCGCCGACGGCACCGCTCTCACCAAGTGCTTGGCTCCCACTTATACCGTCAACTACCTCGGCACCACCTACCAAGTCTGCCCCAGCAGTGATTTCACCAACAACCCTGCCACGGACATCTGGTACTACGTTCCTAGCGACCTCGCTTGCATTGCTCTGTGTCGCTTGAGATCTGGATGCACCAAGATTGTGTACAACTTTGTTACCAAGACCTGCTACAACAAGGGCAACCCGTCCCTGGCCAGCACCGGATGGCATGTCAACACCCAGTTCCGCGCCATCTACATCAACTAAGTTGATGCGTGGTATAGTAGCAATGGAGTTTTGGGCTCGGCATTTAGACTTTCTTTCACCTTTAGCGTCATAGACTTGGTTTGGGGTTTGGAGAGACGGCGTAAACAAAAGGTTTCAGGAACCGTCTTTTCTGGTTTTGGTATTCAAGTCACTCTTTTCTTAGTAGTCTTCTTAACTCTCTTTTACGGACTTTTTTTTGAGACCTGTACATAGTTATTTCACACCTACATGGATCAATCTGCAATTTAACAGTTCAATCAATTTGCGCTTACTCGCTGCTTTCCACCGTGTAGTTCAATATTAACATGAGATTAACCAATGGTGAATTCATAGCCCAGTCTGAGTAGTGCTTGTTTTAGCTGTTCTCTCAGCTGCAGACTGGCTGTGTTGAGGGCTTCGATACTGCGTTTGATGGATTTGTTTGCCCACATCCATTGAGAGCACCCAAGGCCGTGTCATCAACAGCAGCGTTGTACGCGGCACCACAGTTGGGGTCGCTACAATTAGATTAGCATGATTCGTTATTTGAGTTCTTCGAACAGGCAGAGTAAAAGAGACTCGGGAATTTGCTTACCTAGCACCGCCACTGGCGCTGTTGAAGTACGAGCAAACATCGTGAGAGAAGCAATCTTGTGTGTAGACATTGCCAACGGCAGTTCCAGTGCATCCGGCACCACAGCGTCCATTGCAGGAGTAGCTAAGTTTAGCATTAGCAGCATTCAGATACAAAGCATTGCAAGAACGACTTACTCTCCAGACCCGGCAAGGTTAGTGCCGTAGTTGCTCCCGACTATCCCAGTGAATGTGCATGATTTGCCAGCACTGTTCGTCCATTTCGCTGTTGCTGTCGCGCCAACTTTCAAACATGTGATTGCTCTTTTTTCAAGTTCGGGAGCTGAGGGGGCTGCCAGCGCCATTGAGGGGCACAAGGCCATCACGAGTGATAGTTGAGGCAACATGATGGTGAGCTAGGAAACAGTTAACTTTGTGAAGGCTGGAGAGAAATCGAAATGCACAATCAGTTTCGAAATCACAGCGTCGATGCATTGTACCCTATATAACCCATCCAGTCATATTCAGTCCGCGTATAGAACAACTTGGATGACAGCTTCAATTTCGCCGATTGATATTGCGGTCAACTCCGAGGCAACGGAGCAATTCCACGTTGGGAAAGTGTGTCGTCTTGAAGTATATTGCTTTCCATACTTTCGACAAGGCCAATAGCATTCTGTCGAATGAAATCCGGGGTTGATGCAATTGCGCCATCAGTCGTCATCGGTATTGGGCCAGTAAGGGCAAGGTTCCGGAGAATTTCACGGAGAATCATGTTGAGCCTCGTCGGTGAAAGATGGTGATCTCCCGCTCGGCTCGGCTCTTGAACTCTTGACGAGGATTACAAGAGTCGTTGCTGTCTGCTTCATCTGGAGAGGAAGATGAGTCCATGATCCCCAGAGTTCAAAGAACTGCCTCAAATCCCGGAACTCAGAAGCCCCACGACCCGTCTAGCCGAGACTTGCTACCCCACCACGCCAGAACCCGATAGTCGCATTTCGATGAGCGTTGCTCAATGGTCTAGGGTATGCTATACCACTCGACATCATGTTGAAGAGGGTAAAAAGAAGACTCAGGTCTTCTAGTGGGATTATCGCACCGTTCGCGAGCAATCAGAACGCTGCGGTTCTTGAGTTTATAGAGACAGCAGCGATTCCACCGAGGATTACCTGCCAGCCGCTTCCACCGTCATCTTAGGGGAAGCCATCGTGAGTGTGCCGATGCCTCGATGATTGGACTGGATTCAGCTGCGGGGCGAAATGCTCGACTGCTATGGAGGAAGTTCGTACGGGTCCCAACGGAGGAAGAGTCGGAACTTATGAACCTCGATAGGACACTTTCAATTCCGTCCCGAGAGACTTGGCTCCGGCGCAAATAGTTACGCCCGGACCACCCCGGCCAACGGAGCGGATCCTGTATCCGTACAAAGCAGAAACCCGTCTTATAGATGCATTGACTATTTGCTAGCAATCGATGCCTTGAAGTTCCATGGTATTTGAAAGAGAGAAAGAAAGCAATGATCTTTGCGTCGTTGTATGGCACACTCAACCTCCCGTGGTTGGTACTTGCCACTCGGCGAGGGATGCTTCTGTAAGAAAGAAATCACCAAAACCACCCCTCTATTTCACCTTTAACAGGATGGGAAGCAAGGGTTCAAACAAACGCGGATCGTCCCATGTGTTTTCCTCGAGTCTACTACCATTGACCCCATTGAACAAACTTCTCTTCGCTGTTGGTCATTTCGCTGCCAATTGACCCATCGGAATGCTCAGGTCATGAGCTCGGGTGGACCGATGTCGCATCCGTCATTTGCTGATGTTTTCGCGCAGTTCATCTCGTGTCTGCACAACCCGCCTCGCGTATCATGGCATACCCGGCCGGTCAAGATGAACCGAACGCAACCCTCGCCAAGCTGCTGGGACCAAGGCCAAGACGAAGGAATGCCAAAGCTCAACGGTTCAACGGAAGATTCTCTCTCAGTACACTGACAGCTCACCTTCACCGCACTCAGATGACATCAATGCTCAGCGGACATCTACCCCCGAAAAGGCGTAATCTCCAGGCCGCGGGATAGAAGGATGCGACGGTACACGAGCTAAAACCCCGCACGCCCATTGATCTTGGTTTAGTCTCAAGGTCTGAACTGGGGGAGGACTGGGGTTGTTATATGAAGTCTCCCAAGACTTGTGAAGCTTCCTGGAGCTTCCCCCGCACCGACACAACTTTCAGTGATTCTCAACGGCGGAAATTTCTCCAGGTTTTTTTTTGTTTTTCTCGCTCGTCCCCTGGCCCTGCAGCTTGGCACTCTACTGAGCCCAGCCACCCCTCTCTTCCTCTCCTGCAGTCCGCACCCATCTTGTGCCTTTGAAATGGCACCTTGGCTGATCATCCGCTTGAGCATCTCCCCCCAAAAAGTCTTTCTTGTGGTTCTCGGAAGGGTCTTGGCCTTGCGCGACTTCCCACGCTTCTCAATGGCCCGGCTTAGACGCTTCGGCTTTCGGGCCAATGCTAACCGGCTCATCTCGGCCGGTTCCTCCATGAAGTCATGGAGACGGTATAAATACCTTGAGTCGCATTGTGAATCAGCAGTCTGGAAGCTGTAGAGAGACCGAGACCTTGAGACCGCTCTCGTCCCAGCAAAAGTCCTCTCCAAGTATGTCGCTCGCAAAGCTCTTTTCGTCCGGCCTCTTGTTCGCCTCCCTCGCCGCCTCCAAGTGGATTGTTCCCGGTGGCAGATGGCGTGACAATGAGGGGAATCTCGTCAACGCCCACGCCGGCGGTGTCACGCTCGACAAGGAAACGGGCAAGTTCTTCTGGTTCGGCGAGTACAAGATCGAGGGCCAGGAGGAAGGCGGCGGCGTCTCCGTCTACAGCTCCGATGACCTCGCGACGTGGGAGTTCCAAGGCAAGGCGCTCGAGCCTATCGAAGGCCACCCGTACATCTCGACCAACATGATTATCCAGCGCCCTAAGGTCGTTTACAGCGAGCCCACCAAAGAGTATCATGTAGGTTTTCATCAAACTCAAGACCAAATATGGCTTCAGTGCGACTAACTCGTTCCAGATGTGGTGGCACGCCGACAACTCGACGTACGGCCTCCTCCTGCAAGGCCTGGCCACCTCGCCCAACATCTCTGGCCCCTACACCTTTGTCGACGCCACAGCCCCCCTCGGCAACTGGTCTCAAGACTTTGGCATCTTCACCGACTACAAAGACGGCCGCTCCTACTCGTTGTACTCTAACGGCGACCGCCGCGAGGGTCGCGACGTCTACATCTCGGCCTTCAACGAAGACATCACAAATGTGACCGAGGTCGTCCATCGTTTCGACAAGTACGACCTCGAGGCCCCGACCATCATCCAGACCGACAAGAGCTACTACGCCCTCATGTCCCACAAGACGGGCTACCGCCCCAACAACGTGGTCGCCTTCCGCGCCGACTCCCTCGCTGGCCCCTGGTCCCAGCCCTTTTTTGTTTCTGACGCCTACACCCGCACGTACAACTCCCAGTCCGGCTTCTCTCTCAAGATCGAGGGCTCTGAGGTTACGACATACCTCTACCTCGGCGACCAGTGGGACTCCAACTCCCTCTGGGAGAGCCGCTACATCTGGCTCCCGCTCGTCATCGACGACGAAAAGAAGTCGGTCCACGTAGAATGGCACGACGTCTACGATCTCGACGTCAAGACGGGCATCGTCACCCCCATTGAAGGCACACCTTACTACGCCCACGACTCCGCCACCACGGCCGGCGCAGCCTTCAAGCAGGAAGCCACCTTTGCCAGCGGCGGCTCCATCGTGACGGGCATCTACGGCAACGACAGCACCGTTACCTTCACCGGCATCCAGGGCGCCGGCGAGCCGCAGTGGGTGTCGTTTTACTACCAGAACACGGATGACATGGGTTTCGGCGACCAGCCCGGCGGCACACCCGACCGCATCGGCGGAAAGTGGCAGCTTCGTCGTGTGGCTTCTGTTGTGGTGAACGGCAACGAGCAGCAGGTTGAGACGCTTTTCCAGCGTGACAGCCACAAGGGCATTATCTTGTCTACGCCCTTGCAGCTGACTCTGGAGAAGAACGCGAACAACACCATCACCATCGGTGGGTTGTGGAACGGCTTTGACTTTAAGGGTGCTGATATCGATCGTATCGTCGTGTACCCTCCCGAGGGCGGCCCGGTCAAGTGCAAGAGGGGCATTGAGAATGTCGAATAATATTCTGATTAGAGTAATTAGCCAATATCTGTCTGGTACCGAGCAATTTCGTACGAAGACATCATTCTCTCCATGATGTCTTGTAAAGCTTAATGCCCTCTGTTCCCAGCATCATGTGCTATCTTGTCTAATAATCTCTTGTTCATCTTGGCCTACTTCCTTGAACGCAGAGCTATCTACTCAATGGTACACCTATTGAAAGTCGGATGTAAACACTCAGAATCAGCCCTGCGGCAGAAAAGTATCACAAGGCAAAGAAGCTCCCAGGTTGGTAGACCTATAGAATACATGCCTCTTAGGTGCCGTGCTCGGGCATCACAATGGGGGGAAGGGATCGAGAAGGATTGAACAGTTCATTCTCCGGGGGGTTTTGGCTTATTGGGCCTCAAATACCGAGTCTGGCCGGCTATGCGATCGAGAGATTCTCAAATCATTTCTTGTAGGTATAGACGGCAGGCGTGCGCATATTATAAGAACACCAAAAAGGACCACGCTCCTGCCCGGACTCGGAAAGCGCACCCCTCTGTCAACCAGAACTCTGACTTCATGGGAGTATTCGTTTTTATCTTAAGCATTCGACCACCTCGCACACAGCTTGGCCTGATCTCGCCGACCTAGACGGGCGCTGCTGTGCTGGTGACAGGAACGGTGATTAGACCCCGTAAGTACCATTGTAGGTACGTAGAAGGCCTCACGTGAAGCGGCAGCGAGGCAGAGGTGCCCAGTCAGGTGATGGTGGGCACGAGATACGTACACTTCCATGAGACGGGATGGAAGGGAGCTGCGAGCCAGGGTCGTACCTTCTTCACCTGTCAGTTTACTACCTTATATCCTCGAGAGGCAAAAGTCACGTATCCTTGAGGTATCCATCATCATCTTTCGTGGAGGTGATTCCTCCTCGCCTGAACTGTCATCTTCGTTGTTTTGGCTTGATATCTTGCCATGGACCTGATTGAAGAAATCGAGATGTCCAGCGGATCATGCTCCCTCCCCCCCTCCTCCCCCACGATCCTACAAGGCAGTGGGCACAGAAAGGTCAGGTAGAGCAAGTAAACATCTCTTTTGATACACTGACTTTCGCATCAGGAAACAGGTAGGGAGGTAATCTACGGCAATCAGTTTGTGACAATAGACATGTTCGGAGACGAAGATCAAATGAACCAGGGAAACTCTTTGTGATTCTTCCAGAGACAATGGTTGACATCTGTCTCTCATGCCTAGTAATCGACTCATCAATCATCCGCTGCAACCATACCCTCTCTACAACGCCAATAATCATGAAACGCCCACTCGTCTTACTCTACTCTACGATGTGTGGACATCCGTCTTGGAGATGGCCTCTGTTACCGCCTCAATGGCCGGGTCAGCCTCGGCCTTCTTCTCGGTAGACTCCACCGACGCTCCAGCTCCAGCCGCCTTGGCCTTTTCCGCCTCCTTCTTAGCCTTCTTACGGGCCTTGTCAGCGTCCTTTGCCGCCTTCTTGGCAGCAGCCTTAGCCGCCGCCTCCTCCTTTTGCTTTCTAACTTCCTCGCCGCCAAAGGCGTCCTTCCACTCCTCAATCTTGGACGCCGCAATCTGGGTGAAGAGATGCTCGGGGGTTCCAAGCCTGTGACCGGGCTTGATGGCATCAGTGACCCAGGTGTCGGGAATGAACGGCTTGGGCTCAACGCCGAGCTGCTTGAGGATAGCAGTCGAGGTGTTGGGCAGGTAAGGAGCGACGAGAGAGGCCAAAAGGTCGATCTGGTTGAGTGCGAGACCAACAACGGCAGCGCAGCGGTCAGGCTCCTCAGTAAGAAGTCTGTTGTCGAGCTTGTTGTCCTGGAGCAACTTGTTGCCGAGGCTATCGATGTTGTTAGCTCACGTCATGAAATAATGGGGGAGGTAATTGGTTGGCATACGCAGAAATAGACATGATGGTCTGAAGGCCAGCCCTCATCTTAGTGGCCTCCATGTTGTTAATGTACTCCTTAAGCAGGGTGTTGACCTCGTCGATGTGCTTCTTCAGGTAGTCATCAGTGTACTTTGTGTAGTCGGGAACTGCGCCTTCAGTCTTGGCCTGGCAGAACTTGTTGACTCTCTGGCAGAAGTTGCCGAGGTTCTTGAGGAGCTCGTTGTTGTTGCCGTCGACCATCTCCTGCCACATGAACTCGGAATCGGAAGTCTCGGGGCGGCGAGACAGCAAGTAGTATCTCCAGACATCGACGGGCACCCCAGTCTGCTGGACCTGATTGCCAAAGACACCAACACCTCTCGACTTGCTGAACTTGCCTCCCTCGTAGTTGAGGTACTCAGTGGTGGAGATCTTGTGCAGTTTGGTCCAGTTCTCGCCCGTGCCGAGCTGAGATCCGGGGAAGATGATGGTATGGAACTGGACGTTGTCCTTGCCCATGAATTGGTAGAGCTTCACGTCATCGGGGTTCTTCCACCACTGCTCCCAGTTCTTGCCCTCGAGGTTGTCGCCGTCGGTGTAGTTCTTGGTGATGGAAACGTATCCGATGCAGGCGTCGAACCAGACGTAAAAGACCTTTCTCGCGTAGTCCTCTCCGACCTCGTGAGTCGGGATCGGGACACCCCACTTGAGGTCTCTGGTGATACCACGGGGCTTGAGGCCCTTGTCGATCCAGGCTTGGGTAATCTGCTCGGCATTGTTGCTCCATGCGCCCTTCTTGCTAGACTCCTTGAACCACTTGACCAGGTCGTCCTTGAGAGCGTCAAGTCTAAGGAACAAGTGCTTCGTCTTGCGCTTCTCCGGGGTAGCTCCGTCGAGCTTGCAACGGGGCTTAATCAAGAAGCCAGTGGGCTTGGCGGCAACGTCGTCATCCGCAGACGCGTTGGCTTCGGGTTCGGGCTCGAGAGGGTCGAGAAGGTTACCGCACTTGTCACACTGATCGCCTCTAGCACCGTCGTAGGCGCAGATGGAGCAGACACCCTCGACGAATCGATCAGCAAGGAAAGACTGGTGGGCCTCGACGGGGCAGAAAGGCTGAACGGTCTCGCGCTCCTCAATGTATCCGTTCTTCCACAGCTTAGTAAAGATGTCCTGGACAATCTCGGTCTGTTGGGCGGTCGGGGTTCGGCCGAAGATATCGAAAGAGATATCAAAGTAGTCGTAGATGCCCTTGTGGAGGGCATGGTACTTTGCGCACAGCTCAGATGGGGTTACGCCCTCCTCAAGGGCCTTGGTCTCGGTGGCAGTGCCATACTCGTCGGAGCCGCAGACTGTACCAGACAGAGTCAGCCGGAATTGAGGGTTGGTAAACACTCAAGGGAGAGGTAGTCGCAACATACTGTAGATGGTGGGGTTTCCGCGAGCACGGGAGTACCGCGCAAAGACATCGGCAGACAGAACACTGCCAATGATGTTGCCGAGATGAGGAACGTTGTTGACGTAGGGAAGGGCGGAGGTAATGAGAACATTGTTCTTGCCCTTGACGGGCAGAATGGGATTCGGCGCCATGATGTGTCTGTTTGCTGTGTATCGAGAGGCGAGGCGGAGAAGAGGAGGAGAGGAAAAGAAAGAATGGAAACTTGAGATGCCGACTTTCTCGGGGAAAGGAGTCAGACAGCACGGTGTGCAATTGCGCCCACGGTCAGGTACGTCCCCCACTGCCCAGGGCAACTGCCACTGCCAACTGTGAGTCGCACCTACCCAACTGACTCTGAAATGTTGCGCGAGCCTTGGACCCCGCACTATCCCCTTTTGGGATGAGGGGCACGGTGGAAAAGCTTGGGCCAATTCTCAATCGCAATCGCCGAGTCTTCCTCACTGCTCACTGCTCACTGCTCACTCCTCACTCCTCACTCCTCACGTACTCACTCACCAACTCATTGAAAATCTAGAATGGACATGATCATGAGATGAGTTACATCATGAGTGAACCATGTTGGAACAAGCCGCGATATTCTTTTACACCCGGTAGACTTCCCATGTATTCGCATTGAGTTGCCAGTGATATTAACTTACCGTATGATTTCGTCCCTGCTCCCATCGGATCTCAGACCCCGCAAAATGTTATACTACGTATAAAGACGTGATTACAATAGGGAGCGTTGGGCGCACTGAACAGACTTCGGGGCTGGCGAACCACTATTCCACCATTGGTCAATCGTCCCTCGACTTATGACTCCCTTCAATTGATGTACCTTGTAGTCTTGTCCTCAAGCTAATAACCTCGACATGTTGACTCAATCAGCTAAGCTGCGTCACCGTCGCAACCTTTGTTCGCTCAGACGGCAGGCATTGGACGTGTTCGTGCTGATCACGGTCACGCGAGCACACCGTACCCAGTCTAGTCGGAAGGAGGAAGTATGTTTACCTTCTAGTTCTCCGACTCTCAACATGCAGTCTGGACTCATTTTATGAATCCATCTACACGTCACATTTCTTATTGAACTTCATTCTAATGTTTGTTCCAACATGTCCGTTGTATTGAGTGGCATCCGTGACAAAAGGCTGTATCCCCTTCAACGATAATGGCAACCAGAGATGTTGATGACAATAAGATTGTCTTCGTCCGAACGAGGAGATCCTGTTTCAATTGACTTCTGCAACAAGGGACGACATAATCCAAAGTGAATGAGCGCGTCCAATGTCGCCACACCTCCGTGTCACCAGGCTTTTGCGTCTTACAAGATGACATCGAATTCACTGGTCATAAGTCATGGGATCGATACCCTCAGGTTGAGGCTCCGTATCATGCTCCCTCAGGTGAGTTTTTGATATGCCCAACTACGTATCTGTATGCTTAGTCTCCCTGATTTTCCGTAACTTTTGACCAAGATAATACTTTTGCCTGATTCATCGCTATTTCCAATATGAATCCAACTAAGAAAGATCCCTCCCGCATTTTCATGAACAGATCAAGACAAAACACAGACTCCCATCATAATCCTTCATAGGGCGCCAAGTTCCACACATCAACAACACCACTGTGCCTTCCAACAGCCATCATCTTGCCATCCATCGAAAAGGCCGCCGCTGTAACCAGCCCATCGATGCCCACCGCCGTCGTCACTTCAGCCAGAACCTGTCCAGAGTACACGTCCGAGATATCCATCCCCTCCTCCGTCCGGCACGCCAGGAACCGACAATCCGGCGACACCGCCAGCGGCCACCCCTCGTTGTTCCGCACTTTGTTCATCTCCCAGCTCGACACCCGCCCAGCCTCGTGCTCCCACACATACACAGCCCTCGCCCACACCGATACAACCACCCTTCCATCCGGCGACACCCCCAAAGCCCGCGCCCCCGTCCCCGTCCCCGTCACAATCCCGTCCACCTCCATCCGCCGCAGCGTCCTCCCCGTCTTGGCCTCCGATATCCTCACCGTCCCGTCCCTCGAAAGCGTCACGAGGTCCGCGCCATTCGGCATAAAGAGAACATGCGCCGGCGCAGCATGGTTCATCACACCCGCCACCTTCTTCGTAGGCGGCATCCCCGGCGGACTCGTCGCCGCCTCAAACACCACGACAACACCCAAGGGATCCGCTGCCGCAAACTTCTTCCCATCGGGGCTAAACGCCGCTGGCCGCCCAACGCCATTCAACGCGCACCGCACCCCTCGCCCTTCCTCCCCGGCGCGGAGCTTCACCCGCCACTCCCGCTTCCATCCCGCATCCTTCTCCACCACGGCCGTCAGTTTCCCGTCCGGGCTGAAGACAACCACGGGCGCGTCGTTGCTGATGTCCGACGGCACGAGGCGCGCGCCCACGGCGCCGGGTTTCTGGGAAAAGTCCCAGATCTTGGTGCTGGAGGGGAGCGCGGTGCCCGTGTTGTCCTGGGATGTGGCGACGTAGCCCTTGGGGCTGACGGCGATGGAGGTGACGGGGCCGTTGTGGCAGATTGCGCGGCCGAGGTGCCTGAGACGCAGGATTGACGGCGGGAGAGTGCCGTCGTGGAGGTTGAGGGATTGTATTGATCCCGAGACGGAGTGTGTCCTCACTGCATTCCGCTGCGCGCTGTTAAGTATGGTCAGTTATTGGGCATCTTGAGTGGTGTTGAATTGTCGCGCGTTGTGTGCGTGAATATCAAACAAAGAAACTCACCCTCCAGCGACCGCCTCCTCATAGCTAGGCATCGAATCATCCGCCGGCGGGCCATTGCTGGCGTCCAGGTAAGCGCTCATAATGGCAACGTTTCTCTCTCTGTTTCCTTTCAACCTAAACACATAACATCGACTGCCAGTCCGGCGGATTCCCCCGTGTGACAAATGAGAAACCTTTGTGAATAAGAAACAATGTGGCAGATGGGATGAGGTTCGGTTGAAGACGCTAGACGTTTTCCCCAGATCAATCGATCAGATCAGTCATGTCACCTTGCCGAGACCCCGGTCTCCTCGGGCGGCTTGGGATGTCACCGCACACAGCCGCAATGGCTGAGCTCCTCAGACCCCCCCCTGTCGCTGCTGTCTCTCCCCGCAGAACCTTGTTTGCGTCGCCGATGACCGGCGATCGCACCGGGCGCACCGGACCAGTTTGTTCAGCATCAGAAGATGAAAGGGATTTACCTACAAATGCGCCCGGAAAATGATTGGCCAACGTGGCAGAGCTTTGCGCACGTATTCCGCCGTAACTTTTGTACCTTTCCCAATTAAGCGGGAACAATTCATCTTTCATTTGTTTGATGAGAGCATCCTCCAGGATAGTGATCCAAATTATATGCAATTGCAGATGGTCATTAAATGGTATTCTTTTGCTTCGTTATTCACATCGCGCTCACACGTTCCAACTCATGCCTACTGGCCAAACGCTTCCTCGTAGTTGGTCAGGCAGTATCTGTAGCGGACACTGGAATCCTCAATGCCGTTCATTGCCGACCTCAAGCCATCGGCGCTGATGGGAACCTCCTGCACCCACGTCTTGATGCCCTTGTCGGCAGCAAGCTGCAACATCTCCAACGTCTCGCGTCTGCTACCCAGGTGGGAGCTGCCAATGAAGCAGCCGTTGGGGAGGAAGTCCTGGTTGCGAACGGTGATACCGCCGCCACCGGGGAGACCGACAGACACCCACTTGCCGTGGACGTCGAGAAGGCTGAGGTAGGCAGATAGGTCGAAGCCCTCGAATGAGTTGGCCGTGTTGAGGATGAGGTCGAACGTCATCTTGTGGGGCTCGTTCCAGCCCTTCTCGCCGCTCGCCAGGTAGCCGTCGGCACCCATCTTCAAAGAGTCGGCCTCCTTGGATCGCGAACGGGAGATGGCCCAGACCTCAGCACCCAGAGCCTTGGCGAACATGACCCCAAAGTGACCGATGCCACCAATACCGACAATGCCGACCTTCTTGCCGGGGCCGCATCCGTTTCTGATCAGAGGGCTGTAAGCTGTCAGGCCAGCGCAGAGCATAGGAGCAGCAATGGTGCTGGGAAGGGCTTCGGGGATGGGAAAAACCCTATCACCATATTAGCATTCGTATCATGTCGAGGACAGTCACACACATACCAGTGCTCGTGTGTGCGAACGTGGGAGGAGTAGCCACCCTGAGAGATGGCGCCCGAGTCGGGAAACGTAGAGCCGTAGGTGTCGAGCTGGTGCTTGCAGTATGTCTCGTTGTCGTTCTTGCACTGGCGGCAGTCGAGGCAGGCGTAGGACTGAGCTCCAACACCAACACGCGACCCCTCCTTGATCTTGGTGACCTTGGAACCGACTCTTAGAGCCTTTCCGACAATTTCTATACACAGCCGAGTTAGCCAGCAGGTCACAACTACACAGTAAACACATGGACTTACCGTGACCAACGGCCAGAGGGTAGGGCTGAGCACCCCAATCACCCTTGATGGTATGTACATCACTGGCGCAAACACCGCAGCACTCAATCTTGATATCGACGTCGTAGTCTCCAAAAGGCTTGGGGTCAAACTCCTGCTTCTTGAAGTCTTGCCAGGTCTCGGCACTGTTGACCTGGAAGCCGGTGAACTTCTCGGGAATCGACATAATGGGCGAGTATATTTGAGTGAAGAGCTGCCTTGTGACTTCGTCTGGCTATTCTCGAGATACGACTTTGGTCTGGTTCTAGGAAGCAATAGGACGGCACGAGAGAAGAGGGAGAGAAGGAGGAAGATAAGAAAGGTTCGGAGGCTGCTCACGACAGGCAGAGGGAACCGCGCCGGATGAAATACCCTGACCATTTCCAGAGCTGCTCCTGAACCCCCCACCATCTCATTTGTCGCGGTGCTGCGCGTGGAGCGTAGGACATCTATCCTTGAGTGAGGGGCACATCCCAGCTCGGTCGAGGAGGGGCTTATGTCGCGCCGCAATGTCTGCCCATGCGAGCTAGATGGGGGCGGTACCCTTGCTCGAGGCTAGGCGCCTGTTGGAAGGAAACGATGGCTCTCTCATTCGATTCTCCCACAACTTTGCGCCATTGGCTTCCCTCATCCGCCCGTCCGTCCGTCGCAGATCGCAGTGTTCGTAACCGGACTGCGTGAGGAAGAGCATGTTTCTCGAAACCGAACCGGCTCTTTTCACCATTGCCGTTCAATATTCCTGCTGTGAGCATGTCGAGCTCGCATCTTTCGTCACCTTCTTACATCCATTCGCCCTCCATCCATCGTGTCGCGCTGCCCCGCGATGATACCCCACCATCGCCCGCCAATTGCACCCCATAACCCACCCGATTTGATGTGGCTCCTCCGGGGGTTGGGGAAGGGAAATTGTCCGGAAGATTTTCCGAGACCGGCTGCCGAAAATCCCACCATACAGAGCGAAGAGATCCCCTCTTAGAGGTTTGACGCCGGATGGGAACTCCACGATCACAGATAACATCGGGCTTGGCTTGGGCCAAAAATTCTTCGTAAAGGGGCCAACCTCGCTGCATTGGACATCTGGACTGTCTTCTTCGCTGTATCTCGGCAAATGTCTCCGAGCGCATGTGCCGTGCAAATGTCCCTAGCCAACCATCCAGTTCCGTCGTACGTGCTGATTTGATCCTTTTACCGCGCTGTATCTAATCGAGGTATGTGTGATGCCGTTCGGGTGGGTGATCAGTCCAACATGTCGGTACTGGCTCGGGGTTGTCGCAGCCTTCAATTGGATTGTCTCTTCCCGCAGCTAGCATTTACTTCTTTCCCCATTCCCAACGGCGCCTTTTCTTCAGGTCCTCTCCGCGAACTTTCCCTTTCGGTTGCGTTTCTGTGTGGACCGAACATCGGCGACTCGGGCTCGGTGCAATGATCGGGCGGTCTTCCGGCGCAGAAGCAACATCCCAGCCGGGTCGGGTATTTGAGCTTGGCGAACTCCCCCTACTGTTGCTTCCTTACAGATGCCGGTCGTCCGCTTAATCCGACGCCGGCCAGAAATGCAATCCTCATCGAAGCGCCAAAGTAGACAAAGGGGACGTTCCCCCAGTCGATGGCGTTCCACTTGGTAAAGTTGTAGTACACCTCTGGTCCCAAGCTTCGAACTGTGTACAAGTGCCCAAAGTCAGCTACGAGGAGCACGAACAAGACAGTCTTCCAGACGCGCAAGTCCGAAGTCGCGCGAAGAACGAGAGCTTCATTGAGAGCAAAGAGCAGGTATAGGTTGGCGAGTTGTGAGAGGACGATCGAGGTTCCTTGTGGGATGATTTCGGGTTTCGAGACGGCGTGAGTAAGTTGGAGGTAGTCGTCGGGTTGAATGTGAGCGTAATAGGCGCCGACAAGAGCAGAGATGGGCTCGATGCCGAGGAAGAAGACGCGGTAGAAGAGCGGAATCACAAGGCCGATTCTACCAAACTGAGCGGGTTTGGGCGGCATTGTGACAGCTTTTTGAGAGCGATATGTCGTCGACAAGAGGACAAGAAGGTCAACTTCTCGTCAGGAATCCTTGATAGAGAGAGGGAAGCTGGAGGAATGGAGAGGGACGTCAAGGCGGTTTCGTCTCATCAATGGAGATTCTGGCGTGACGGGCACCCTGATGGACTGGGCCTCTCGTCATCGGCAGGAGCAAGGAAAAACTTGAGCTCCGGAAAGACCGGGCCCCGATGCGCCGGAGCCGAATTGCCATTGGCTCGTGCCCCAAACCCAATTCAGATGGGAATTTGCGATTTCACAATGGAACAATGCTGTTTCATCACATTAGATGCCTATATCGCCAATCGCTGTGACCATTGCCTTCTATCCGTACAAGTGATCACTCAACGTTGATCTAGTGTGTGACTTGACCTGAATAGCCCACGATTTAACGTAGAAGGTAGCTTACCTTACAACAGAATCTGGGGAAGCGAAAAGTCACAAGTTCATCCCTAATGAGGAGGATATGGGTGTGATTCACTCTCATTTTCGAAACTTAAGACTCTCCCAGGCGCTCGCTTAGCCGCGCCGCCTTTGTGTTTCAGACGCATATAACCAGGCAATGTTCGGCAAAGGGAGCCCGTCGCGATGGTAGAAGTGAGACCTTCATGGCAATACTCGGCTACTACATAGTGACAGGCGGGCGATAAGAGCAGGCGGTAAGGCATTGGTGAGATGCGATGGTGGATGGACGGAATGTCGCCCTTCATTTGTCGGTTGCATTAGAGTGTGACAACCAATTTCCCATTACAGAAGTCTCAAAGCCTGGTTGCCACACTGCCGTGACTGCTAACGACGTCCGCCATGCTGGATCAGAAGTTGGACGTCTCTGGACTGGAATGACCGAGGGCAATTGCCGAAGCTGATCTTTAACCATCTGTACACTTCTCTGTGTAGTCGCAGTGTTGTGAAGTCTAAGCGTTGCTCACAAGTTGATACCGCTCTCTCTGACGCCAAATTGAACGCAAAGTACCGTTAAGCAGACCGGAGCTTGTGAGAGAGAAAACATCGGAAATTGACTTTGGATCTCCGCTTACAGGGGTGCAGGCGGCCTAACCTGAAGGATGCGATGCGGGAAGGGTGGGATTTTCAGGGTATTTGCATTCAGGGACCGAGACCCCGGGAAGTTGGACACAATCGAGACAGATGCTGCGGCCTGCCTGCCTGCAGTCAATGATACCAGCTGGCTGCGAGCAATGATGATTTTGCAAATAAAAATGGGATTTCGGGATGGGGGGGTGAAGAGAAAGGGCAGCAAGAGTTGATATCGAGACCTGACAAAATTCTCTCTGACAGGAAGTATCGGGTACGTCTCTAGTCATTAGGATAAAGACAAGTTTCGCAGTTCTGTGACTCCGAGATCCG